GCCAGTAGAACTTGCTGCCGGCGCCATGGATGGCGCTGGTACTGCCAAGCTTACCAGGGAAATGCCTGGCGTTGACAGGTGAAGGGCGAAGTGTAGCGAAACACAAGATCGTGAGGAAGAGGAAGGCACTGGCATCACTACTGGTAGAGATAGCCATTCTCGTTTGAGTTGTTGCCAAGGGTCTCAGTATGCTGGTAGGGTTTATATAGTGAGTTAGCCATGGAAGAACCCTGATGTTTTTAATTTGGTCCGGATCTAGAGGCGGAGATTAGCTAGTCGGCTTTGGATCGAACTGCTTGCGTGCGTTGCATGAAACCGGTAATACGGCTAGCTTGCATGCGGAGCTAGCGTATGTTGACCATTCATTTGGCTGTTGCTTTGCAGTATATGAATTTCTAGTCTTATCTCTAAATGGCAATCCGACTCAGTGACGGTGGTGCATGCCAGGGACTTCAATTTTGTGTAGTCATTTAAAATTGTGTAGTTGAATATATGTGTTTATAAAAAGTTTATATCATTAGTTTGCATGATTTGTGCGTGTAAATGAAGTTGTTGCTAAAAAGTCAATTGACTACACAGCTTATATGTGGCTTCACCACTGGTCATTGTGAGCTGTACTTTACTAAGACAATGCACGTGCTTTGAGAGCATCTCCAACAGCCGCGCCAAACTAGCGCCGCGGCGCAAAATTCCCCGTTTTAGCGCGCGCGCAACCGGAATAGTTGCTCCAGCGGGCGCGCGAAAACAGCGCGCGCGGCATATGTAGTTCAGCGTGTGGGCCGAAACTCAATCGCGCGCCGCTTATTTATTGCGCCCGCTCCCGCGCGCTGGACTCTCGCGCGCTCGCTCGCACCTCCCACCCCCCATCCAGCCGCGCCGCCGCCGCCGACCGCGCCACCCGGCGACCGTTCCGGTGCTTCCCCTGCCTATCCCCGCCCCGCGGCGGCTTCTCCGGCCCCCCTCTAGTCCCGCCGCCCCTCGCGCGTGCTGGTCCTCCGACGAACAGCGCCCGCGCACTCGCTGCCGCTCGGCGCCCGCAAGGTGTTCGACAAAACGCCTAGAAGATATGTATTGCTCAAAAGCCATGAATTTCGTGCATGTTGATTGTAGTTTTTTATAGCATAGTATTGAACATTGTAAATGAGTTCGTCGTATGATTCTTCCAAAGAAGAATTTGATATGGAAGAGGAGGAGGATCTTGCAATGAACCTAGCTATGCATATCAATAAAAAACCGAAGCACGGTGGTTCGGTTATGGGTCGGCAGAAAATTTGGAGGGATAGGATCGATGCCCACAATAGATTGATCAGGCATTATTTTGCGGAGAATCCCACATACCCCGAGTCGTATTTTCGTCGCCGGTTTAGGATGAGCACCGAATTGTTCAGGCGCATTGCAGAGAAACTAGCGAGCCATGACCACTTTTTTCAGCAAAGGAGGAATGCCGCCGGAGAGCTCGGGCATAGCACTTTTCAGAAGGTGACAGCCGCTTTGCGTATGTTGGCATACGGTATACCGGCTGATCTAGTTGATGATCACTTGGCTATGGGTGAGAGCCAAGCCATCATGTGTGTCAAGCTCTTCGCAGTCGGAATTGTGCTAGTGTTTGGCGAGGAGTATTTGAGATCTCCCAATGCTGAAGACGTCGCAAGGCTATTGGCGATGAACAAAGATCGCAACTTTCCTGGCATGCTTGGCTCAATAGATTGCATGCATTGGAGTTGGAAGAATTGTCCAAAGGCATGGCATGGACAATTCCACGGCCAAAAAAAGGGTTCCACTATAATCCTTGAAGCGGTGGCCGATCAAGAGACTTGGATTTGGCATGCATTCTTTGGAATGCATGGGTCTTTGAATGCCATCAATGTTGTCAACCGGTCACCGCTGATGAATAAGATTGCAAATGGTGAGTTGCCACCGGTGCAGTTTGTAGCAAATGGCCGTACATACAACTATGGCTATTATCTAGCAGATGACATCTATCCAAAGTGGCAAACATTTGTCAAGGCGTTGAAAAAGCCAGAAGGTAAGAAAGAACTTGATTTCCACAATGCTCAGGCGACGGCTAGAAAAGATGTGAAGAGAGCTTTTGGGATTTTGCAAGCCCAATTTGCTATTGTGAGAGAACCAGCTAGATTTTAGGATTAGAAAATGCTTTGATACATCATGCACGCTTGTGTGATCATGCATAACATGATCATCGAGAATGAGCGTGACCAAGATGTAGACTACTCTCAGTATGAGCTTTTGGGACATCCGGTGCGAGTGCGACGGAGGGCTGAAAGGGTGGCCCGTTTTGTTGCCTCCTATCATTGCCATTCGACGTCCCGCAGCGCATAATGATCTTCAGAAGGATCTCATTGAGGAGTGGTGGGCATGGAATGGACGACAAAGAGCATCATGATTTGTGTGTTTAATATTGTATTGTTGAACTAATTGTTGTGTTTATTGCACTATTTGTTGTATTGAACGATAAACTGTTTGTTTGAGTTGTAATAATGAAATTGAACTATTTATTTTGATTTATTTTTGTTTGTGTCTGATCTTTTTGCTTCTGTTTTGAAATGCATATGTTGTTTGTGTGAGAGTCGCGCGCGCTGCATTTTTGCGCGCTGCTGGAGCGACGCGCGCGCTGCATTTTAGCGCGGCTCCTGGAGCCAGCGCTGCGCGCCGCGCCAAACCAGGCGATGGGCGCGCGGCAAACCAGTTTTTTGCGCGTGGCGCGTTCAGCGCCTATTGAAGATGCTCTGAGATGGGGTATAAATATTCTAGCATGGAGTAGTGGCGTGATTGTGTAAAGAAATGTTTATCAATCTTGCCCATGATTGTGTAAATAAATGTTTATCAAATAATATTTATGATTTTGTAAATAAATATTTGGTAAGTAAACTAAGGTGGAATTGATGCAGAAGTTGAGTAAATTAAGACGGTTGATTAGCGTACCAGGAGGGTGTCAAAGAAAAGGTGTGATCGGAAAAAAAAGTTGAACTAAAAAAATAATATGAAGGAACATGATGGGAAGGGGAAGAACTGGTTGGCGAAACGTTCTGCTGACAGGAAAAATAAGACTGCTTTTTTTAAGTAGTAGAGAAAGTGAAACGTGGACATTGAGGCCTAATAGCTGCAAGGAACAAGCATGATGTTTTAATTGTTATTAGTTTGTTAACTGTGGAATATTTTGGTGCTATCTTTTCTCCAAGTTAGCGGTGGAAGCAAATTGTATGAACATTTACTTGTTCTTTTTATTGATTATTAATAGTGGTGTTCTTGTGAATTTTATGAAGCTCCGCTACTCGGCAACCAAAAGAGGCTTTTCTGGTTGCCTTCGGATAAAAAAGAGGATAAGACTATGTGGTGGACAGTGATCATCCGTTTATCAACATACTAGGTGTCAAGTTTTTTTTAATTTCAGAAACAAAATAATTTCGGACCTCACTAAAATATGGTAAATTTCGCATATTTCAGAAATTATTTTGGATTTTGAGATTTCAAATTTCACTTAATTCTAATGAATTCTAACATAATTTAAATTTATATTGAATTTTGTTGGAATCTGCCTTGAAATTTCAGTGTTAAAAATATTACGAAACCACAAATATGTGAAAAAGACATTAAAAAGACAATAAACATACCAATTGAAATGTATCAAGAAATAGAAGTATAAACATATGGAATCCACAAATATGTAAACTGCCGATGCGACATCGTCTCCAACATGTCCACCGTTAGGAACTCGACGCCACCCTTGAGGCCCGTTGTGGCGCAATTCAAATTGACTATCGAATATGAAGGGAGGCAGTGCTAGAGTTCATGTACACAAGTTTTGCGATCATGATAATCATTACATAGTATGGGAATAAAAGAGAAACATCGTGGCTCAAGGTGGTTGTTCATGATCATGGAGTTTTTGGTGATTAAAATGGAGGGCATATGAGGTACTTTTTCTACCGTTGCAACACAAGCATATCTCCTAGTGATATAATAAAGTTGGTGTTCGGTGGTTCCCTAAAAAAACTCAACCGTAATCATTCCCTACAGCGCCCCTAAGTTAAGTTCAATTAACATAAGCATGCCTTATACGGTGTCGCCACTAGGTGCAGCTGGTTCTTCCTCCTCGAGGTTAAGGTAACAATCATTTCCATGTCCAGCTCACTCGGCTTCACTCCGGCGGGGAGGCTCCAGTCGAAGTAGTAGAGAAGTCGTGCCATGATGAGCTCCAACACGGCAACCCCAAAGGTATCACCCGGGCAGATTCTCCTCCCGCTTCCGAACGGCAAGTAGTCGAACCGCGAGCCTTTGTAGGTCGCCGTGCCATCCTCGAACCGCTCCGGCCTGAACTCCTCAGGCTCATGCCAGTACTCGGGGTCCCTACCCAATGCCCAGGTATTCACCATAACCCTGGTGCCCTCCGTGACCTCAAACCCACCGACATCACAGGTCTCTCGACAGACACGGGGAATCAGCAGCGGCAGCACTGGATGTAGCCTCATGCTCTCCTTGATCACCATCTTGGTGTAGTGTAGCTCCACTATGTGTCCCTCGTGGTCTTGAGAGCTCTTATTGTCGAACGTCCGTCGCACCTCAGCCTGCGCCTTCATCATCACCTCCGGGTTCCTCATGAGGTCCGACATGACCCACTCGGCCGCCGACGATGTCGTCTCCGTCCCGGCCGAGAACATATCCTACACAAAGGAGACGACATGCATGAGCAAAGACAATGGAATAGTAAACTAGAAAATTCAATCAATTAATTACCATGATGATTGCCTTGACGTTGTCCAGTTCCATCTCCCCTTTGTCCCTGATGCTAAGCAAAGAGCTTAGAACGTGATCACCTTGCCTCACTTCGGACTGAGAGATGATCTTGTCCAGGACCTCGTCCTGCTGCCGGCGGGCTCGCCATAGCCGGCCTCTCAGACCGGTGACCACGTCGACGAACCACAGCGACGGGAAGAGGTCCCCGACGCAGAGCCCCGTGCCGTGCTTCAGCACCTCGTCCATCACCGCCAGAACTGCTCCTGGAGCTCGGAGCTGCACATCTCCCCGAACGCCGTCTTCCCGGTTACCGAATTCGAGCACAGCACGAGCAGCCTGCGGAGGTCGAACGGCTGGCCGCCCCTGCTCGCCTCGCGAACGTTGCTGACGAGGGACATGGTCTCCTTGTCCCTCACCGGAGAAAACTGCCTGACCTTCCGCTCGCTCAGCAGCTCCGCCGCGCAGATCTTGCGCAGCGCCCGCCAGTACGCGCCGTACGGCGCGAAGGCGACGTCGAGGTTTCCGTAGAGACTGATCTCCGACATGAGGATGCTCGGCCGCGACGCGAATGCGAGGTCCTTGTCCCGGAGCACCTCCTGCGCCGCCGCCGGTGAGGAGACCACCACGGCGTCGACCTGGCCCAGCCGGAGGCCCATCACCGGCCCGTGCTTCTTGGCCAGGTCCCGGAGGACGACCGGCAGCTTTGGCGTGAGGATCTGGTGGAGGTTTCCGATCAAGGGCAGACGCCATGGGCCGGGAGGCCGCCGCTTCTTGGAACTTGGTGATAGTTTGCGGCTAAGCAAGGAAACTAGAATCACCACTGAGATGAGAGAAACCAAGAAGAGGGTGGCTCCACTAATTAGCTCCATCACCATGAGGATGGTTCGCTGCAACCGGGAGAGGGTGGTTCCACAACCACCGGACCGGCGGTTGTATATATGATTTGAAAAATTAGTCAAGGTTAAAATCAAATGGCTAGCACCATTGGCTTACATATACACCCCCATTTGAAAAATGTTTCTCGTGTTTCTCGTTTGCCGGTTTGCATGCTTTGATCGAGATTGCTGGACACGTGCAGATAAGGGAGTCCCGGGCGAAGGTGACGCTGGTGGCGCAGATGGCCGCATCGGTGGGTGGCCATCTTTCTTCCCAAAACGTACAAGGTACAACAAAAACAAATTTGTCACGCTCACAAAAAAGCAGAGCACAGTGTGTGCTTCGTCTGTCTGCTGGCTGCTGTCGACATTCTATTATCGCATGGGTGCAAGGTAAAAATATCAAGGTCCTTGCTGCTGGAGCTTCATCTCTACTCTAAGTGACGACTTGATAGTCTCCGTTCCGCGTTTTTTTTCGTCCCACCTTTTTCTGGATTTTTGTCGTCTCCCCACCTACCTCCAAGGTAGTCGCGTCGCAGGCAAACAAAAAAGGCGAACCAAACCTCCTAACGATGCCGGTGTCCACAAACAAGAACAAAATGGGACGAAAGAAAACCTATGAAGAAAAACCAGCGAAAAAAAAACGTCCACGAATCGTACGCACGAATGAGGACTCAAGGGTGCCCTCGATCGAGAACCACTCGCACGCACAAACGAGGCCTCCAGGGTGTTAGGTACCAGGTCGATCTATTCCAGATACAAGGCTTGAATTTGAATTACAACCAACCTCTAGTTGTTCTTGGGGAAGAAGGAAGGTAGGTGGGGAAAGTAGAGGAGAGGAGAGCCGCCTTTCGTTCTGATCCTTCTGGATGCCTCTCCCTTGCACATGAGGGGATAAGTAGTCGTCAGGGGCGACATGGGCTCAGCGGCCCCATTCCGGCCCGACGAATCTCCTGTTGAGCTGCACAATCCTTTTGGGCCTGCTGTTGATTCGCCTTGCCACCAGGCCGTCGTTGGTGACGTGGTTCGCTGCCGTGGCAGCCCCCTTGGTCATGGCTGTCAAGGCAGGTTGTGCGCTGACATCCCTTCCTCCTTGAGAGCTGGCTTGTCCCCAAGCCAGTAGAGAGGGGTAGCGGTCTTGCATCGTCTTGGCGTCTTCCCATGTGGCGTCGAGGACGGAGGGATCAGACCAGTGCACGAGCACTTGTTCACGTCGCCCTTGCGGGGTGTGGCGCCATCTTGTGTTGATGATCTCGACTGGAGTCAGAGGATCTTCAGTTGGGGTTGGCAGCATCGTCTCGACCGGAGTAGCAGGGGACAAGGCTCGGCGTAGCTGCCACACATGGAAGATGGGTGCATCTTGGCGCCGGTGGGCAGCTCGAGCTCGTAGGCGACGGGGTTGACAATGCAGATGATCTTGTACGGTCCGAAGTAGCGGAAGGAGAGCTTGTGGTTGGAGCGACGGGCGACCGTTGTCTGCACATATGGCTGCAGCTTGATGAAGACAGTGTCCCCGATGACGAAGGAGCGATCGGAGCGTTTCTTGTCAGCTTGGCTCTTCATGATGTTACGTGCCCGATGCAGGTGCTCCGCTAGAAGTTGTTGCATGTGCTTGCGCTCTTCGAGCCATTCTTTGAGCTGCGGCAGCTTGCAAGTGAAGGCTGCCTCAATTCCCCAATGACGTGGCTCATGGCCATAGAGGGCTGCAAAAGGTGATGTATTGAGAGCAGAGTGAAAACTGGAGTTATACCAAAATTCTGCAAGAGCCAAGTAGCGGTGCCACTTGTTCGGGATTGCGTGGGTGAAGCATCTGAGGTAAATCTCCAGGCACTGATTGACGCGCTCTATTTGCCCGTCTGTTTGTGGGTGGTATGGCGTGCTCATGTTGAGCTTGGTGCCAATAGTCTTGAATAGCTCATGCCAAAAACTGTTGGTGAACACAGGGTCTCTGTCAGAGACTATCACTTCAGGGAGACCGTGCAGCTTGTATATGTTCTCCAGGTAAGAATGAGCAACTTTAGCTGCCGTGAATGGGTGGCTGAGAGCTAGGAAGTGGGCGTAGCGGGTAGACTTGTCGACCACAACTAGAATGTAGTTGAACTTGCCCGAAGAGGGCAGGCCGTCAATGAAGTCCATGGTGACTACCTTCCACGCACCATCTGGGACTGGAAGAGGTTCGAGCAGGCCGGGGTAGCGAACACGCTCTAGCTTGGCTTGCTGGCATACAGAGCACGATTGCACGTATTGCTTGATATGCTCTTTCATTTTGGGCCAGGCAAATAGCCGGCGGAGGCGCCTGTAGGTCACGGGCACCCCGGAGTGGCCGCCCATTGTGCTGTCGTGGAGAGCGCAGAGCATTCGCTGTTGCAGAGAAGGAGAGCCCCCAAGCCAGATTCTATCTCTGAAGTATAACAACCCATCACGCATCTGGAAACGCTTCTTGGGATCCGGTCGCCTGTCCAGATCACTGATGATATGCTGCACTTGTGTGTTTGTCCTGTAGCTAGCCACAATATCGCCCCGCCAGGCAGGCTTGCAAACTGAAATGGCTATGATGGAGGCGTCCGGTGTGCGACGTGACAGCGCATCAGCTGCTGAGTTTGTCGGCCCCGGTCGGTAGCAGATCTTGTATCTGAGCCCAAGCAGTTTGGTGAAGGCCTTTTGTTGCCAAGGAGTGGACAAGTGTTAATCGTCCAGGTGCACGAGGCTGCGTTGATCCGTGCGGATAACGAACTCTCCCGTCTGGAGGTAAGGACGCCACTGTTCAATTGCCATCAGGATTGCCATGCATTCTTTCTCGTAAGTGGACAATCCTCTGTTCTTTGGGCCCAGGGGCTTGCTCATGTAAGCGATGGGGTGCCCTTCTTGTTGGAGAACTGCTCCCACTCCATAGGCGCACGCGTCCGTGTCAATGGTGAATTTCTTGGTGAAATCAGGCAATTGCAAGACTGGTGCTGGGACTAGTTTCAGTTTCAGAGTATCAAAAGCTTGTTGTGTGTCACTTGTCCATACAAACTGCTGGTGTTTTTTGAGGAGGTTGAAAAGTGGCCGGGCAATGATTCCAAAATGTTGGACGAACTTGCGATAATAGCCAGCGAGGCCGAGAAATCCGTGCACCTCATTAACGTAGGTGGGGGCGGCCACTCCTGAACTGTCAGAATTTTGCCGGGATCTATAGAAACATCGTGCTCGTTGATGACATGGCCGAGGTATGCAATCTGGTTCTGGGCAAACGAACACTTGGACTGCTTAACTTGCCGGTGATCATCTCGAAGTAGTTGTAGAACTTGCCTGAGATGTTGTATGTGATCTGTCAAAGTCTTGCTGAATATGAGGATGTCATCGAAGAATGAGATGACGCAGACGTGTTTCATCGGACGGAGGGTGGTGTTGATGGCCCCCTTGAAGGTCGACGGTCCTCCGGCAACACCGAACGGCATGACGTGGAATTCCCAATGCTCCGAGTGAGTCTGGAAAGCCGTCTTGTATTCTTCCTCCTCTTCCATGCGTATCTAATGGAAACCGGCGCGCATATCAAGTTTACAGAACCACTTGGCGCCAGCAAGCTCGTCCAAGAGCTCATCAATTATAGGCATTGGGTACTTGCTGACCACTGTCATGGAATTGAGGCATCGGTAATCCACGCAAAGGCGCCAGGAACCGTCTTTTTTCTTGATGAGTAAGGCTGGCGAGGAAAAAGGACTTGAGCTTTTTTGGATCACACCGGCATCGAGCAGTTCCTGAACTTGTCGCTCGATCTCTGTTTGAACTCCGGTTTGTATCTGTACGGGTGCAAATTGACTGGTTGAGCGCCCGCCATCAGAGGGATCCTGTGGTCGCACTCGCGACGTGGTGGAAGGCTGTGCGGGTCTTCAAAAACATCCGTGAATTGTTCTAGCAGGCGCATGGCTTCAGTTGGGATCGGTGTGTCGGTTGCGCTGCTCCCATCCAGAGAATTGAGGTGAATAACATGAGAGACTGAGCCTTGCTTGCAAGCTTTGAGCAGTTCAGGGGCAGAGATCAAAGAACATTGTGTCTGATCAGATGATATCGCTAACATTTTCAGTTGCCCGCTTGGTGTTGTGACTATCAGGTGCTGCTCGATCTAGTCAATGTTCATAGGGTTGTGCTTGCGTAACCAATCCATCCCCAGTATTGTGTCATATGAACCGAGCTTGATAACCTTGAAATCGGTCATGAACTCGTGCTCATGCGCAATCCAGGAGCAGTTAGGGATATAGTGGGTGCAGGGAATAGTGGCGCCATCGGCAACGTGCACAAGGCACGGCCATGCCAACAGAGTGATACCCGAGAGCTTGGAGGCGAAGGAACTATCCACAAAAGAGGTGGAACTGCCGGAATCAACCAGGACCAGAACTTCATGCCCTTGCACCCAGGCCTGGAGTTGCAGAATACCTAGGGCTGATGTACCATCTTCAGCTTGCCGGGACAATGTGCGCACATTTTCTTTGTCAGAGATTGGCGAGTCTGGTGGTGATTCTGACGCAGCTTCATCCATACTGAACATAGCGAGTAGTTCATCCACAATGTGCATCTGAACTATAGGCGGACACACATGGTCTTTGCCCCATTTCTCGCCGCACTTGAAGCAAAGTCCCTTCGCGCGCTGGAATGCACGGAGTGTGGCCACCTTGCTGACTTCAGATGTAGCTCTGGCGGCATCAGTACCGCGCCTATCTTCAGAATTGGCTGTAGGCGTGGCAGGTCACCCAAAGAATGGTGGTGGCACCGTCCTGGAGGCTTGGCCTTGGCCGCGGTTGACATGTGTGAGACGCCCGTGGCATGACTCGCCGTCGGCCACTTCCTCCTGAAGTAGGGCCAGCGAGCACGCCGTGTCCAGGTCTGGTGGGCGTTGTACGAGCACCACAACACGGATGTCCGATCGCAGTCCCTCAACAAAACGTGTCCGGAAAAAATATGGGTGAGTAGATTCTGAGTATGGAATCAGGTGATTCATTAGAGATTCAAATCGCTCGATA